AGATAAATTGGATGCAGTAGATCATAACTAGGTAGACACAAAAATAGAAGGCATTTCATTAACTCTAAGCAATAAGACTGCTAAGATGCGACTATCATTATGGTTGGTGATCCTTTAAAATGGTTATCTCTTCCAGTGGATTCATAAAAAGAGGATATGAAGTTCTTTTATCGACCGTGTGATCACTTTTCATAAATTCTTGTTCACGTGAATAGGGCTTTGGTTATCCTTATATGAATTTGAGTTATCCGTCTTGAAATATCTAAAATTCACTCCTTTCTAACTTCACTTGATTTCCTGGGTACACATAAGAGTATTTCGTAAGTGTGTCAAGTACAAATCTCAAAAGCTTTCTTTTAGATTATTATTTGATTTTTTTCCATTCAGGCGCACTTTTCAAGATAATTTTTTTATCAGAGGCTTAATTTCTTTCATAAGGTCAAGCATTGGTTGACCCCTTTGTTTTGGACTATGGAGACTAGTACTACCTAAGGTGTTCATAACTGGTAAAGCCCATCAATCTCACGAGCAATATTGTTTTCTACAATTTCCATGCCGAATATCCATTTTAACTAAGACGCTCACTCCTATTGTAACAAGCCATATTCTCTTTCTCCGGACGAGGTGACAATGAAAGAGGAAATGCAATATTGGTTTCAGGGGCTTGGATATGTGAAATGGTTTGGGTCTGGCGAGGTCCCCCACTGAGGCAAGAAAAGGGCAGGTTGACACTCATGATATTTCGAGTGCAGTTAGGCAGGAGGAGAGGAGAAATTTTTTTGGTGAGAGAAGAGTCTTCATGCTTTTTTTTTACATATGTGATTGTGTTTTACAGATAGTATGAAAAAGGTAAACAAATTGTAATTTTTCTACATCCTTACCGATGCTCAAGGTATTTGAGCCATGGTGAATACTGGAACTACCACTTTTACACTGAGGTGGATCAACTTGTGGACGATGCATCCAATTTAACCGTGGAGGAGTAAACTCCTCCTCCAGTTTAAACAAAGAGGGTCCAAAATGAAAACTAATAATCCCCTCGGGATCAGGGTTATCCAAAACGAACTCGTGTCTCCGAGGGTGGTGCTTTTGGGGAGATAACTCCCTTTATTAGGATGTTAGAGGTATTTTTTTCACGGCTTGCTCCTATCTCTAAGGAGGTTGCTACTACCGTTTCAATGTTGAATTTATCCTTCAGTTAAAATCCCCCTAAGGGGGAGCAAATGGAACTGGCTTCTGAGCTTGCTCATAATATGTTCAAGGCTGCTTCTATATTCTCCCTTATCTCTGTCTATAAGATAGATGTCTTGGCCTCAGGTAATCCCACCAAGGAAAGGGATACCTTGAAAGAGAAACGTGAAGCTATGGAGCTGACGTGCTCTTCTTAAAAAAAGCTTTTTTAGTTTCAGAAGGGGGTTTAAACTGCTAACTCTTTGCAAGAGGAGGCAAAAATATACATCTCTCCTCTTACTCAGGATACTCGGTTGTCTAAGTTGAAGGATTAGTTCAAAGATGCAGAGAAGCGGTATTAGGGTGCTTATGATTTTGTTAAGGAGAAAACTCATCAGGTGAAAAAGCATCAAAAAGTCCTTATTCAAGAGATCGAGGCCCATGCAGAGACCTTGAAAGCTCTTAAAGATGAGTTGCTTGTGATCCCTATGATGGGGTATGGAATAGACAAAAATCGATGTAATATGGTCGTATCTTTGTAATGTGTTATGCGTCACATATGATTGTTCCCTGACCAAGGGTAGGATCCCTGTCCCTACCCCGACACTTGGCTCAGATCAAGGTGGACGTCTCTAAGATACACCATGTATGCCCTTTGATTGGCTAGATCCTAGGTGGATGTACCAGCTACAGAGAAATGCATTTAATCAACCGAGGTATGCATTTAAGTCATATCAGAATCGTATAAATGCGTTAAGTCCACAACTAGCTATGAATTGAGCTTAAGCGTATCAGAATCACAAAAATGTGTTAAGTATGTATCAGATACATAATTAGGCATGGAATGCGCTTAAGCCGTATCAAAACCATGAAAACGCGTTAAGTCTGTATCAGATACATAATTAGTCATGGAATGCCGCATCAGAATCTCCAAAATGTGTTATGTCTGTATCAGATACACAATTAGGCATGAAATGCGCTTAAGCCATATCAAAATCGCATAAATGTATTAAGTCTGTAGCGAATACACAATTAGGCATGGAATGGGCTTAAGCCATATTATAATCACAAAAATGCTTTAATTTTGTATCAGATATGCATTCACGCATTTCATCTTTATTACCCATATCTTAAACACTTTAGTAGAAAGAGAGACAAAAAAAAGCACAACAACCGAGGAAGAAATATACACACACACACACACACGTGTGTTGAATTCGTTACAAAGAAATAATGAATCAACTAAGTAGATAAAAGTACAATGGAAAATATGTTATGGCCGGTCGTCGCCTTGAGTCTTTGGTCGTAGTCCTTCCCAGGGCTTCGAGATGGGTGCACTTTCCTTTTTAAAGACGTCTTATTTGGTTGGATGGGGTGGTAAGGTAACCCTTTTTGTATATATATTTCGTTATGTTGTTGAATGAGTGGCTTCATCGGGGCCGTAGTCTGAGGACGATCGTTGGGGTCTTTGGAGCCTGAGACTGCTTTTGTTGAATGTCCCAATTGGATGATTTTTAACCTATGTGGCTAAGACTCCCCAATTTCCTTTTTATTTCGGAGTGGATATCTACCTCGAGTAGCCTAAAATTATCCGACGACGTTCCTTGGGAGACCTGGCTTCTTGACCGCTGGTTGTGGATCCGACTATTCCTTTATTCAAGTATTTCCTTTAGAATGATGTAGGTGAGTAGTGATCGGAGGTAATTGTAAGAATATTGGGTACCTTTTATAGTCCCGCAAAGGATACTTGATCGTCAACTTATCATATTTGGATGAAATCACTCTAGAGACATTATTTTCGAACAAGATAGTCCAAGAATTGGCTCTAGTGGATATTGTAATTACCGAGCCGACTGTATATTCACTAGATACATTTGTTCCGTATTCGATGCCTCTGGTTTGGCCCTCTTAGAGAGGACTAGACCAAGCAATAAAGTAGACATAGTACTCATCCAAAGGAAGGCCTGTCCATAAGTCGAAGATCCTTTGGTATCTATAGAAGGCGTTTTTGTGCTTGATCTACGTCTGACATTAACTATGAACTCATTATGTCTTCGGTGCCATCGAGGCAGATGTCACACCGATGACATGAGGCTACTGTGATATTAGATTGGAAGATGGAACACGAATCTTCAGCGTTATCTTTGAGAAATCCACTTTTACTTTTCGGTGCCTTCGTCGTGAATCTGAACATGGACCTAGGATCCCTTCTTCTTCCTCTTCGCGGAGTTCATGGGGAAATCAGAGATTTAGAGATATGACAAATTGCAACTGAAACAGTAATAATTTGAATTGAATGTGCTAGGTCCCCACATTAGGCTCTGAATTCTCTTAATTTGGTGACCTGGAGAGGCTACAACTGGTAAGTCAGAGATTTTGACCTAAAATCCTAAGAATCCAGATATAGAACTTCTATGTTCGCACGATGAGTTTAGACAGCGAACGTGAGTTCATAGAAATCTTAAGAATCAAAAGTCGATTCTCATAGATGACACAATTATTTAGTTCGGGAACCTCAAATGAATGCGGTTGGGAAACATATGATTTTGAACGATGACTCTGATCTCCTTTACGACGGCGCATGGCGTACCTGCATAATTAACACTTTAACCTCTAAGTTAGTTCAAAATTTGATATATATATTTTTTAAAATGTGATAAAAATGCATGTGAAAAATATGGTATTTTATGAAAATATTATGTAAGAAATCAGAAATTGAATAAAAAATGTTAACTATAAAAATCCAACATTTTCCACACTTTTTTTTTTGGAAAAATCTAAAATATATTGATTTGCATGATTTAGGAATTTTATAGTGATTTTTTTTTAAATAACCATCTTTTTCAATTCATATACCAAAATAACTACCATTTCAAATAAATTATTAAAGTGACAACTTTTTTTAAAAATTTTTTTGGAGTCGCCACTCAAATTGACGCATGTACTATAAAATTATACATAGGCGCCAATTGGAATGACGCATGCTTATAATGACAACAAAAAATGTAGGTAAAAGTCATCTTTGTGTAGGCATATCTTAAACCATTTTTACCTTCAACAAATTGTCGTAGGCACAACAAATTATATGTTAAAAAAATAGACTTTTATCCACTTTTACCTACAGCAAATTGCTATAGGTACAACAAATTATATGTAAAAAAAATAGACTTTTATCTACGGTAAAGTGCTTTAAGTATAATTGATTTAGGACATAGACTTTTATATAACCATTAAAATCTAAGAACTAAAAGATTTTAAATTATATGCTATGAAGCAAGGATACAGACACATCGACATTGATAATAATTTTAAAAAAATAAATCAATAAACATAATTACAAGTATAAGTGTCCTAGCACTTATCATTTAAAGGTGTGGGGGTCTCAAAAGCTTATATTTATAATTTAAGCCGAATTGCTTTTACAATTCTCTTGGCTATTTAATTGTACCAAGCAATTTTTGCCTATAATTCAACATAAATTTTAACACACTTTAATTTGTATATGCATGATATCCAACAAAGTGCATGCGACAAGGACGATTTCAATTTTTTTATTTGAAAAGCGGTTAATTTGATAATTTATTTGAAAAAATTATTATTTAAAAAAAATTCTATTATAATTAAATGGTTGAGTGTGTGGGTGCCAGGTGTAACTTTAAGGGTGTTAGGTAGATTTTCCCCTTGTGACCCAAAGCCAAGCCCAGCCCAATAAAGGTGCAAGGGAAAACCAGTACTAACATTTGTTATTTTCCAATTTCCTATTCCTTTTCAAAGTAGTTGCAGTAGTACTGATTTCTGAAAAAGAACGAGCCAAGTGCGAACTCGAAGCAATGGATAGAGAATGGGGTTCAAAACCGGGAAGCGGCGGGGCCGCGACGGCGCAAAACGAAGCAATAGACCGCCGTGAGCGTCTCCGACGACTAGCACTCGAAACAATAGATCTAGCAAAAGATCCATATTTCATGCGCAATCATCTCGGTAGCTACGAGTGCAAACTCTGCTTAACTCTCCACAACAACGAAGGAAACTACCTCGCTCATACACAAGGCAAACGCCATCAAACCAATCTCGCTAAGCGTGCTGCTCGTGAGGCTAAAGATGCTCCTACTCAACCTCAACCTCATAAGCGGAAGCTTAACCTAAAGAAAACTGGTATGAAACCCTTATTTTTTTATTTATTTTGTTTATTTGGTAATTGGAATGGATAATTGGATAGTTTTTGCTTGTTTGCAGTTAAGATTGGTCGTCCTGGGTACCGTGTAACTAAACAATTTGATCCTGATACTAAGCAAAGATCACTCCTATTTCAGGTTTTTCTTGTTTCCTTAACTAAATGTATATTCTTTCAAGTTTAAATTGAGATTTTGTTTGTTAGATATGCAAATACAAATTAAAGTGTGTTGAATTATAGGAAGAATTGCTTAAAGAACTTATTTGGTACAATTAAATAGCCAAGAGGATTGTAAAAGCAATTTGGCTTAAATTATACATATAAGCTCTGAGGCACCAACACCTCTGAAAATAATAGGCGTGTCCGTGTCCGTGTCAGACACCTACACTTGTGATTACATTCATTGATTCATGTTTTTAAATTATGATCGGTGTCGACATGTCGGTGTCGTGTCCGTGCTTCATTTATATAACTCAGAACCTTTTACTTCTTAGATTTTAATGGTTATATAGTTCTAACCAATTTTGTGAAAACTTGGGGATTAGGAATAATAATAGTATACAAACAAATATATTAGGCATAATGATAGTATACAAACAAATATTTGAATAAGAGGATTATGAATGGAAGTGTTAGACAGAAAATTAGGGCAGCGCAGTGCCTATTAGTAGAAAATTTGATGGGTTGAGTCTCATAATAGTTGGGTTGTTTGGGTATGTGTTGACTGATAGAAATGACAGTGGAGTAGATTGGAAAAAATTAGTACATAACTATATGTATTAGGGGAAGAGGGACACCGGTATACTATAGGTCTCACCGTAAGAGGGATTTGGATTGAAATGGTTTGTAATTAGGCACAATTTATTTATGATAAGACATTATGATATGATGATGTTGCTTATTCAATGTATACAACTCAGTGAGAGAAGAGTCTGATGGTGATGGGGGTGGTGATGGTGATTGTTATCAATTACACTTCTTGTGGGTATTAGGGTATAAAGAATGTTATGATAGGAGTGAAACTGTTAGGTAGAAAATTAGCGCAGCAGTGTTGTGGAAAAGATGGTGGAGTTGCATATTGGATGGTTTATTTGGGTATGTGTGGAGAAGACTTGAAGAAACTTTAGTGTGGAGAGTAAATTAGATGAAGGATCATACAAAAATTAGATGAAGTTGCATATTGGTGGATTTTAAATGGTTAGTCTTTGAACACAGTTCATTATAGGACATTATGATTATGCTGCTTAGCCCCATATATTCGACTATGTGCAAAAAGATTGTGGTGGCGGTGGTTATTGATGTCAATAGCACTTCTCCTCGCGACTTTCTCAACATTGAATTGTTCTAACATTGTTATATATGATAGATTGATAGTAATATAATTTCTTTGAAAATTTCTGTTGATGCAGATTGAATATCCTGAAATTGAAGACCTTGCAAAGCCTAGGCATCGATTTATGTCCTCCTATGAGCAGGTAAACTTTTAGTTTATTGATTTACTCCCCCCCTATCTTTCTCTTTCTCTGTATGTGTTGTTTAGTCAAAGTTGTCAAATTATTTGTTGCATTTAGGCCATTTATTAACATTTCTGTTTTTATGTGTATAGAGGGTGCAACCATTTGATAAAAGATATCAGTATCTCTTGTTTGCAGCTGAACCATATGAAACAATTTCTTTCAAGGTAAATAATTGCTCTAGTTTATTATTTATCGTGTCTAAGGCCTTGAATACGTATGTTGAGCTGGGGAAATTTATTTGTTTCTTCTTGTTAATCTTACATTTTCAGGTCCCTAGCACAGAGATTGACAAGTCCACTCCCAAGTTTTTCTCGCATTGGGACCCAGATTCCAAGATGTTTACGGTTAGTACATTTAATCTTCTTAAATAACTGTGATGTAAAATTTCGTCCATCAAAGTGTACATATTTTGTGTGATTGTGAATAAGTTAATATTTCATGCATATGTATCATCCAAGCAAAAACAAAATTTTCAAAATAAAAAGAATGCTCACTGTGTTTGTAGATAAAAAATCTTTTGATGAATTTTTTTTTTTTTATATCAAAATATTCTCTAATTTAAACTCACTTAATCTTAGACATCAAAGAACCAGTTTGGCCGGTTATTATCGATATCCTTGCATTTAATTGTTTTCCCTTGTGCAAACTAATGATTCAAGCAAGCAGTTAATTGTGGAACTATGATGAGTATTTCCACCCTTTCACGCTTTCTCTTATTTGTTCCTTTTGGTTGTTTGTGGATGTTTTATTTCCACTAGCAGCTACTGACTATAAAACTGTTGCTATGTCTGCAGCTGCAGTTGTATTTCAAAATCAAACCACCAGAGGTAACCAAACCACAGCCCCCTGCCTCTACACCGAATGGCACCACAGCACCTGGTGTTCCTCCAAGGCCAATGCCCCCACCATCACAAGCTCCATTACCACCACCACCACCACCTCCACAAGGGCTGCCTCCCAGCGCACCTTTGGGAAATCCTCCTCGGGCCCCTCCACCTCCAATGTCAGGGTCAATGCCACCACCACCTCCTATGGCTGCAAACGGTCCTAGACCTGTACCCGGTGCAATGCCACCTCCAGCACCCCTTGGTACTCGACCTCCATCAATGCCACCTCCACAAGGTTTTCCAGGCCAATAAATGCAGAGCCAGGGCATCCTTTTTTGCCTCCACCAATTGCACATGACCTACCCAGTCCGTATGGCAGTATGCTGATCAGTATCGTGTGTTAAATAGTCGTAGTTGGACGTGCCTTATCCACCGAGTCTCAGTATATTTGTTATCTCAGATGCTAGTTTTCATAAACAATACCCCAAATTGGCAATACATTGTTTATTGCATCTAATTTTTTGCAACATACAAATTTATACATTTGATTTGCAGTATCAAGTTGTTTGGTATTTAATGTTTATGTTGATCATCTTCCACTAAAATGTGGTTCCAATCCCAAGGTATAGATGGAAATGTTTTGGTTTGTATGGTGTACCGTAGCTGTTTGATTGCAGGAAAGCATGAAACCAAATACTAAAACAAGAACATCCCTAGGCATATGTGATAATTATTGTAATGACATTATTGCCTTGTTTATTAGCTTAAATATTTTGTGTATCATCTTCATCAACCAAAGTTGTTTAGAACTTCAATTGCATTAGTATGTCGAATTAGAAAGAAAGGATGAACTGTGAATCAAATGTCATCAATATGATCACAGATCAGTTCTAAACTTCAACTTCAAATGATTTCAATTTTAAAAGCACCAAAGTTACATGAATAGATGTTCATTTTTTTTACCTCTAACATATGTTTGGATGTACACACAAGAAAACAAAAGTTGTTCCGTATAAAAGTAAAAATCTAGATAAATTACACTAACATTGAAAAGTAGCAATAATTTAATCTAGATTGATCGAATCTAAAAAAATGTTTAAATGACAATGTACAAAAGCAAGCAAATGCTTTTATTCTTATGCATAGTTCTATAATACATTACACATCTCAATGCATCATGCACCATTAGGAACACAGTATCATCATATACTTGTACATATATGAAAATGGTGTCTGCAAAGGTGGTACAAAGATAGCTAATTTTCTATAAAAATTCAGAAAAAAAATTCAAAAAAAAAACTGATTAAATAACAACACATAGAAAAAGCAAATGCTTCTCATTCACGAGCAACAACAAGCACTTGTTTACCAACATTGCGACCACTAAAAAGGCTAACCAAAGCTGTAGGACCATACTCAAGACCCTCAGCTATATCTTCCACATACACAATTTTCTCCTCTCTGATATGAGGGAGGACAAACTCCAAGAATTTCGGATAAAGGTGAAAGAAATCAGCAACTGTTAAAACCTTCTATTCGAATCCGCTTATATATAATATGTGCCAAATTCGTTACACCTTCAGGTTGGATAAGATTATATTGTGAAATCATTCCACATGCAGGTATGCGGCCATGAACTCTCATATTCAATAGTACAACATCAAGTGTCTTTCCTCCAACATTCTCAAAGTAAATATCAATGCCTTCAGGAAAGTACCTGACTTGTATTTGCTATACATTAGTCAATAATAATCACTACTGAATACACAAAAAAAGTAACATCTAAAACTTTCTATTACCAAACAGTTAAGTACAGAATACAAACCTTTTCAAAGCTGCATTTAGGTCAGGCTCTTCCTTGTAATTGAAACCTTCGTCAAATCCAAATTTGTTCTTCAACAGATCCACCTGATTGTAAAAAATATGCATTCAATCAAAACTACTCGTATATTAGATGTTATGTTAATATTTTCTTTTTGATCAGAGTTTGGACCTCGATCGTTAAATTCGTTTAACCTTTAGCTCAAACTAGCTCAACTACCTAACTCGCGTATGTGATGGTGATTCATGAAAGAACATAAAACTTAAACTATTACAAGAGTACCTTCACCTTACTTCCAGCACTTCCAACGACATAACAACCAGTCAATTTAGCAAATTGTCCCACAAGTTGTCCAACTGCACCAGATGCAGCCGAAACAAAAACATTCTCTCCTTTCTTAGGAGTGCCTAATTCAATGAAGCCGCCAAAAACATTCTCAGAGAAAAACACAGCATATGTCAAAAATGAGCAACAGAATGACAGAAAACTCCGCGACCAATATCAATATAAACTGAAATTGTTGAATACATACCGAGAATTCCGGTATATCAAATTTAATTTAAAACACTAAAATTAAAATTATTATTTTAACTGATATAAAATTTAATATGAATAAAATATTAATATATAAAATAAAGTTGTGGGACCTAATATTTATAATACTATCACATATTTGTTAAAAAATATTCTTTTTTGTAAAAAAAACTTCACAAAAGAGAAAACTAAAAAATAGGAAAGTATTTTTCAATTTTATATTAAACAATCTAATATTTAAGTTTGTATGAATTTAATATATACTATTTTATTCATAATTAAATGAAATTTTACTTACGTTAAATACAATTAATATATTAATAAATACATTACATTGCGAAATATTTAACAAAAGAATTGTAGTTTAGTAGTTAAAGTGGTTCACAATGTAAGTCTTAGAATCGTGATTTAAATTCCACCAAAGCCGAGTTTTGATTTTTAGTTTTAATAAATATATAAATTTAAAATAATTAAAAATTAAAATTAATAAGTTACGTGGACTACCGTATAACATTAAAAAAAATTAAAAACTACTAAGTTATTAACAATATACAAAATTTATCTTATTTTATTTTTTTTGTCATGGATCTTTTGATGAATAAAATTTTTTTTTTATGTAACGAGGGCAAAAACCTAAAATTATTTCACACATTCTAAACTCTCGTCTTGTTTCTTCAATTCTCACAGATTCAACGTTTTCTTCCGTCTCTTTAACTTTCGTTCTTGTTTTCACTTCAATTTTTTCACTCTCCGTCTCCGACGATTACTTTACGTTTTTTGTTCTCCGACGATTCCTTAACATTTTTTGTTCTCCGACAATTCCTAACGTTTTTTTGCTCTTTGACGATTACTTTACGTTTTTCGTTCTCCGATGATTACTTTATGTTTTTCTTTCTCCGAGGATTACTTTACGTTTTTCTTTTGTCCTGGATCGTTTATTGGTTTCAATTGTTGCATTAATCTTCACCGTTAAGATCACCGTTCAAGAATCAAGATTGACTCCAGCGGAATCGTAGTTTGGTAAGTGTAACTGGTATCTGTGATTTCTAAATCATTTCTAAATCATATACTGCATTTTGTTTCATCTTGGAAATCATTGTTGTGGTTTTGTTGAATTTTGTTGCGTGTAGTATTGAAAGCTGTGACTGAATTGATCATAAATGGCACCATCCAATCCGAAAGTTAAAGCGGCTTTTCGTGCAATGACGATCCTTGGCACTCGACCACATTGTCTTGTTCTTCAACTCTCACAGAACAACTCTCACAGGTTCAATGTTTTCTTTACTGTTCCATCTCTTTAACTTTCGTTCTTGTTTTCACTTCAATTTTTTCACTCTCCGTTACGTTTTTCGTTCTCCGACGATTACTTTACGATTTTCTTTTGTCCTTGAATGTTTATAGGTTTCAATTGTTGCATTAATCTTCGCCGTTAAGATCACCGTTCAAGAATCAATCGTAGTTCGGTAAGTGTAACTGGTATCTGTGATTTCTAAATCATTTCTAAATCATATACTGCATTTTGTTTCATCTTGGAAATCATTGAAATATGGTTGTGGTTTTGTTGAATTTTGTTGCGTGTAGTATAGAAAGCTGTGACTGAATTTATCATAAATGGCACCACCCAATCCGAAAGTTAAAGCGGCTTTTTGCGCAATGACGATCCTTGGCATTCGACCACACTGTCTTGTTCTTCATCTCTCACAGGTTCAATGTTTTCTTTACTGTTCCATCTCTTTAACTTTCGTTCTTGTTTTCACTTCAATTTTTTCACTCTCCGTTACGTTTTTCGTTCTCCGACGATTACTTTACGTTTTTCTTTTATCCTTGAATGTTTATAGGTTTCAATTGTTGCATTAATCTTCGCCGTTAAGATCACCGTTCAAGAATCAAGATTGACTTCAGCCGAATCTAAGTTCGGTAAGAGTAGCTGGTATTTGTGATTTCTAAATCATATACTACACTTTGTTTCATCTTGGAAATCATTGAAATATGATTGTGGTTTTGTTGAATTTTGTAGCGTGTAGTATAAAGTTAAAGCAGTTTTCCGCACGATGACGAACCTTGGCATTCATGAATCCAAAGTGAAACCAGTGTTAAAGAAACTGATAAAATTGTATGAAGGAAACTGGGAGCTTATTGAAGGAGATAATTACACTGCTCTTGTAGATGTTATTTTCGATGTGGAAGATAATCAACAGGAAGATAATCAGGTGTATTCTATTCCTGCATTAACACTTATTTGTTTTGGGTCTATTCTATGAAACTTACTCTCATTTCACATGCACAATGCTTGTTCATTGTTATTATATAAGAATGTCGCTGTTGTCTGTGTTTCTTTCTAACTGTTAATTCTCTAGCTGCTGAAATGAATTATGGTTTTTCAATTATGCCTTAAAATATGGAAAAAGAGCTCTTTGTAGAATTTAGTTAGGGGAGGCTCACACTGCTGTTTAAAGACTTAACAACTTAACACATAGGATACACTGCATATGCTAATAAGCACACCATAGTGTGGAAATGAAAATAAGTTCCTGTGCCCGAAACTGGAGGAACAAAGACACCAAAGTGTGTAAATGAAGTAAGCCAAAGTGCACTTCAAAATAAGTTCCTGTGCCCGAAACTGGAGGAACAAAGACACCAAAGTGTGTAAATGAAGTAAGCCAAAGTGCACTTCAAAATAAGTTCCTGTGCCCGAAACTGGAGGAACAGTAGATGTCTTCACCATTAGTACCAGGTTGGACTCATTACAAGTGAGATCCCGTCAGGGGAAAAGGTGGAACATCTAGCAAAATTGTGTATAATAAAAAGTTCCTGTGCCCGAAACTGGAGGAACAAGTTCCTGTGCCCGAAACTGGAGGAACAGTAGATGTCTTCACCATTAGTACCAGGTTGGACTCATTACAAGTGAGATCCCGTCAGGGGAAAAGGTGGAACATCTAGCAAAATTGTGTATAATAAAAAGTTCCTGTGCCCGAAACTGGAGGAACAAGTTCCTGTGCCCGAAACTGGAGGAACAAGTTCCTGTGCCCGAAACTGGAGGAACAGTAGATGTCTTCACCATTAGTACCAGGTTGGACTCATTACAAGTGAGATCCCGTCAGGGGAAAAGGTGGAACATCTAGCAAAATTGTGTATAATAAAAAGTTCCTGTGCCCGAAACTGGAGGAACAAGTTCCTGTGCCCGAAACTGGAGGAACAAGTTCCTGTGCCCGAAACTGGAGGAACAGTAGATGTCTTCACCATTAGTACCAGGTTGGACTCATTACAAGTGAGATCCCGTCAGGGGAAAAGGTGGAACATCTAGCAAAATTGTGAATAATAATAAATGCATGTGCAATCCTTAATATTTAATGAACAAAAAGTCTATAACAGAGCAGTTAAACCCCCCTTCTAAAACTAAAAGATAAACTCTTGGACCATAGGACGAGGCAGCCAAAGTTAAATTTAGGCTAGCTATCTTAATTGAAGAGTATTAATGTGATAGGTAACTGAAAAGTATTTGTTACTTTCCCTTTTTGATGTCCTAGCTTCAGGAATAAAAGGATGATTTGGGCACTTCGGAACTGTCATCCATCTTCACCTGGCTTTTGTACTTTGGAAGACTGGTGTTCTTTAGACACTTTGGAAAATTTCAAGATGATTTCTAGATGGTGAGTGTATTGCACTCTGAAATTCTTTGTTTCATGTAGCTAATTTTGTTAGTTGTCCGGATTAGGAATTTCAAGTTTTTTTTTTGTTTTGATTTTTGTCTGATTGTGAATCTTTGTTTCTTGTAGCTAACTTGCTGCTGGGTTATCAGTATATGGATTGGTGGGCTGATTGAGCTTTCAGTTTAAGACACTGGCCTGAACTGATTTTAGGATGCAATGCAAAGGAAAGCTCTTGCTTCTGCAGCAGCTGCTGCTGCATTAGAAGAGGCCAATGCTACTGAATGCATAATAAGAAATTTAAGGTAATGACTACCCTTTGACCAGATGTTACTGATTAGTAGTTTGGATGTGGATAAAATGTCCTGATGAGTTATTTTGGGGTAATTATGTTTATTATATGATTATATAATTATATGATTAGTCTTTTATCCTGAACTGATTTTAGGATGCAATGCAAAGGAAAGCTCTTGCTTCTGCAGCAGCTGCTGCTGCATTAGAAGAGGCCAATGCTACTGAATGCATAATAAGAAATTTAAGGTAATGACTACCCTTTGACCAGATGTTACTGATTAGTAGTTTGGATGTGGATAAAATGTCCTGATGAGTTATGTAGGGGTAATTATGTTTATTATATGATTATTTAAATTATATAATTCTGCATTCTATTTCTGCATGTTCTTCTAGGTTAATAAAATAGTTGTTTCCACTAGTTACTTGTAGCATATAACCGAATCTTCAGTTTATTGATGGCATTACCAACTTATCTAAAATTTCAAATCATTAGGAGAAGGGCCAAAAATGGTTATGAATTTATAGTTACTTGTAGTATGCTGATTGAATACCTTGTTGCATGTTTGACTAGAAAACTGAGGTAAATCTCTTTAGGGTATGTTTGGGAGGGAGGTTTAATCCTCAAATATTGGTTTCTATGTTGTGTTTTGATTTTATTGAATCTTAAAGATGTCCTGATGTTTGTTCTTTCATGTGTTTGATTGTTGTGCCATTAGAATTTTGTATACTTCAATATAAAATGATTGTTTTTTAATGACACAGATTGCTTCAGATGGACTCAAACATAGAGTGTTTGAGGTTTCTTTGGCTGATCTCCAAGGGGATGAAGATCACGCTTTCAGGAAGATTAGGCTGATCTCTGGCTGATCTCCAAGGCGAAAGCCACTGATCTGATTGAACAGTGAGATGTTAGGGGACTATTTCCATTCCTTTTCTAATTTTATGATGATTGTACAACAACATTTACTTGTTTGGAATTGCAGAGGTGAGCCAACAAAAGTTTTTTTAGGTATTGTAAACAGTACACTAGTATTCACAAGCCTAAGCTGATTGCCATCATGGAAACTCGTTGTGACCAGTCCAAGCTCCAAAAATCTCTTCTCAAGTTGGGTTTTGATGGCTTTTGCTCTAATTAAAATCAATTTATGCAGGAGGCATTGCTATTGCTTGGATGGAGGAAGACATTAATGTAACTGTTATTCATAAAAAGTTTCAGTATATTCACCTGAAGATCCAACCTAAGCATGGTGCAACTTGGTGGTTTACTACTGTTTATGCTAGTCCTAATATAGAAAATAGAAGGATTATGTGGTATGACTTGTGTGAAATCAGCCTTACTGTGAGAGAGTCCTGGCTGGTGGCTGGGAGATTTCAACGACATTGCATTTGCTCATGAAAAGAAGGGTGAAGGTTGATTTTGCCATTCAAATATTGTTGTTTGTTGACAAACTAAGGTAGATTTAGGAGTGTTTTCACAGATTTTCTTTTTTGATACTTTTCAGAACCGATTCATTTCTTGTTTAGTTTGTTTTTTTTAAGAAAAAAAATTAAGAATCTGTGTCGGTGTGTTCCCCCTGAGTTAGCTAGCAAACCATACACAACAATAATGAAAAAACGAAAATTCACATGCCTCAAGGATTTTAGGAGTGTTGTGTGGCTTGTGTTGTTTTGTGTTTTGTTACCGAGTTTTGATTCATGTTAATAGGACTGTTTGCTGCTGGACATGAAGCTACAGCAACTGGGATCATGTGGACTATCATATACCTTACAAACCATCCACATTTCCTCAAAAAAGCCAAGGTATATTCACTATTTTTTTTATCTGTTTTTATTTGAGATTTTGATGTTGCTTTGTCCTTAAAAAAAAGAGAAATTTCATGTATATCTATATTATAGGAATTTTCATTAGAAGAAGTATCTAGTATGAAGCATCCCGTTGAGCTGTTGAAAGAAGTGAAGAAGGTTTCTTTTACAGCTATTGTCCATGTTTTTATGGGCTCTTGTAATCATAACGTTGTTAAAAAGATTGAAAGTTTATTTGAGGATTTGATGAATGGCTTGAACTCTCTTCCCATTAATGTTCCTGGTTTTACTTTTCACAAAGCACTCAAGGTATTAAACACTTTATAGTCTTTCATCTCAAACTATGTGTTTACTATTAAGTCAACTCAGTTGATAGTAGTCGGAGAGCTTCGGATGCGAAACTGCGACGTTTTAAATATTTATGTTTGCATGATATTATTGTAGGCACAAGAGAAGATAGTGAAAATATTAGAACCTGTTGTGAGTGAAAGGAGGATGAAGATAAAAAATGGGCAACATATGGGAGAGAAAAAGGATTTTATGGATATCCTATTAGATATGAAAGATGTGAATGGTAGAAAAATGAAGGACGGAGATATTAGTGATTTATTAATAGGACTATTAGCTGCTGGACATGAATCTACAGCAACTGGGATCATGTGGGCTCTAAGATTTAGTGTATGGGCTCTAAGGTTCTTATTTTCACAATTTTTCTTTACATTTCGTATTCAAATTTAATTCTGGGTTTTGATTTCTTTGTTTTCTCTGAATTTGCAGAGCTGATTACTTTGCAAAAAAGGATTGGTATGATATCAAAGCTCCTTTAGTTTTTTAGATGAAAAATGTTGGCAAAACCCTCGTTTCTTGTACTCAGGGATCTAAGGTATGATATCAAAACTCTCAAGTGATTGTTGAATCTGTATTAGTTTTTAAATACAACTTAATTAAGTGTTAACCATGTAAATGATTATGTATTACTAGTAATTATATTGAGAAAATATAGCATAAAGTTAAGTAGTGAAGTTGCTACCTAGTATTGTGTGTTTTGATATTATTGAATCTTAAGGATGTCCTTATGTTTGGTCTTTAATGTGTTTGATTGTTGTGCCATTAGAGTTTTGTATACTTCAATATAAAATGATTGTTTTGTAATGACACATATTGCTTCAGATGGACTCAAACATAGAGTGTTTTAGGTTTCTCTGGCTGATCTCCAAGGGGATGAAGAACACGCTTTCAGGAAGATTAGCCTTAGAGCCGAGAATGTTCAAGGAAAGAATCTCCGGACAAATTTCTGGGTGTGATAAGTTG